CACCATACGACATTTACTGCACATTCTCTCCATGCATTGACGTGGAGGAGCGTGTCACAAAATACATCAGCCAACTAATAATCTATCATTCTTTTGTATTGCTGTGTTGGATTTGCCACTAATGCACCATTTTCTCTCCCTCTCTCTGTGGTTTTTACAGAGGAGCCGTTTCCAGATTTATGATGAATATTGTGGGAACCATGAAAAGGCCCAGAGGCTGCTGCTGGAGCTCAATAAGATCAGAAGTGTTCGGACGTGTTTACTGGTGAGAAGGGATTGTAAATATGCACACAACGTATGCTTGCTAACATTTACTGACCTGCTTATGCGCCGTGGGCAGTGTTAAAGACAAGAAAGGCCCATATTCAAATCTTAGTCTGAATAAACATTTCTCCTCAGTGACGCTCAGAGCAGCAGAGCGCCGTGATTCATTTGTCTCTGGATTTCCAAATGGCACATGGAAGCATAACATTCAAACCCAAAGTTGTAAATACTTCATTGTCCATGTGAAAGGTACAAAGCTAGAGTCCAAGTGAGAACATGAGTGATCCAAACTGGGCTCAAGAGTTCTCCCTTGAAAACACAACCACTGCTGTCTCACACACACACACACAGAGACGCAGAGCGAGGCAGCTGGACAGTGTAAAAGCATGTACCTTGTGTTCCAGTGTGTCTGACAGCTGATGTGACTCTGCCTGATGTGTGGGTGGACTCCTACTTCCTGTCCCGACACTCTCTGAGACTTTCTCTGCCAAAGGGGAGCATCGTGTTGCTAGAACAAAGGACCACAATCCCACTGTTGGCGGGTTACACTGCACATGTGTGTTTGTGTGTGTAGAGGTCAAAAACCTGCCCCCCCCCCCCCCGTATCTCTCTGCCCTTTACTTAATACCGTTTACAGACTTTGCGCCTCTGTTTAGTCATTTCCACTTCCACAGAGTTTGTTGACTGTTTTATTCCTACGGCTGGCGGAGTCACTCGCTTGCATCACTACAGCCCATAATCCCCTAATGTTTTAGGACCCCAATAAAACAGATCACTTTGAAACTCTACAGCAGAGTTACAAACCCCTTAGAACCAGAGTACAACCACAGACCTACATGTATCGATCATGGTGGAGCATGTGATGATAAAATCTAATTAAAGAAATTAAACACACACACACACATACTGAATGCACCATCAGAGAAGAGTTCCATATGATTTACTATCTGTGTGTGCTTTTAATTTAAGACGCCCGAGGAGGCAGAGATATGAATTGACTTTGATTTAACAGGGACTTTATATCCTTGGCCTCTTGGTGACCTAATCCTCCACCAGGGCTTTGTGGGTATCCTGTTACAATCCCACTGCCTCTTCACCTATAGGCTGATGTAGCTCAGGTCAGCTCCCAGGCCCTGCAGTGACCATGGTGGTGATGGTCTCCAACCTCCTTTAAACCTTTGACCTACTGACAGCTATACATTCTCCTTTATTATTTATGGTGTAACTCTGTCTCATTCACAGCTGAGGTGAGGGGAAGGTGAGAATAAAGATTAGCTCTTGACCTCATAACACACAACCTGACACATGTCAGTAAAGATCCCTTTACTAAAGTGTGGACAACATTGTTTACATTAGAGGATTTTTCAGTCTGTAGTTAGTTTAAAAAAAATGTTTTCTAGGCTGTAAAATCCTTCCGGTATGAAAAAGGAAAAAAACAGAAACTAGCTCAGCTTTTAGCTTTACTTGACAAACACTGCATCCTCCTTCTTCCTCCGTGTGGATAAACATCCTGTCCTCCCCTGTTCTCCAGAACTGCATGTTGCTGGGCGGCAGAAAAAACACAGAGGTCCCACTGGAGGGTTACCTGGTCGCTCCCATTCAGAGGATCTGCAAGTACCCACTGCTGCTCAGAGTGAGTATGGCCCTGTGAGTTCTAACCATGCATTATGGAAACACCACACCCTTGTGCCACCTCTGCAGGGCACCTTCCACCCATCTTTTCCTCCACCACCACCCAGTCATTAGTCGGGGCTGTTCACATCAACCTCTCCCTGGCTAATGAAACACTGGCCTCACATTCTGACACTTCCTTACATCAGTACCTCAGCACAACCACACTGGGGGAAATAACACGGTAGCCCTCGTCACCTCCTTTACCCAGCTGCATATTTAGGAACCTTGGTGGAGCTCCCTCATACCTTTATCCTTAGTTTTTGGTTTCAACATTTCCATTTCTCTGCGTGTGAAACAGGGGCGAAATGAAATACTCGTTCAAAGGCTTGTTTTAGCTGGTGATCCGAGACGTGCCGTGTCAGTCATCGCTCGTAACGTTCTCCAAACAAGCAGTGGAACAAAGAAAAGGGATGTTAAAATAATAAGGTGTAATCTGATGCATGTCTGTTAGAAGTCTTTCTGCTGCCACAGCCTCCTTCCTGCCACATGACACATGATTGCCATCTACATATCCTGGACATCGTGTTTCAGCCCTGTAGTGGCTTTAATATAACATATGCACAGCCATGGCTGTTACTATCACATCTGATATGCTTGGTATTAACTGCAAAGAAAATGAAGATTTTCAATGAAACTGGAGTATTTTTCTTTATATGCGTTTAATGACGTAAACATTATGTTTTTCTTTCTGTGTAATAGGCAAATGACACGGCCCATTACTGGTCCCCGACCCAGTGGCGCCTCCTTTATATAAAATAGACTTTATATGAGCCTTCACTACACACTAGCAAACACACGTGTGGTCTCTGCTTGTGCAGGAGCTGCTGAAGAGGACCCCGAAGAAGCACAACGACTACGGCCTGGTGCAGGAGTCTCTGCATGTGATGAAGGCGGTGTGCTCCAGCATTAATGAAGCCAAGAGACAGATGGAGAAGATGGAGATTTTGGAAGAGTGGCAGTCACACATCGAGGGCTGGGAGGTGGGCTCCCGACACAAGTCTGCAAACTAACTGTGTTTCATTACGTATTTAAGTTTTAATGGGAGCTTTGACCCAAATAGCTTTATTGATTTACATGTCCTTAACTCAGGATTTCCTGTCACCCTTTGACTCACACGGCTAAAGCTTCAAGAAATTACTTATTTAAAGCCACTTAGCCTGGTGCCGGCAGTTCAACAAGAATTTAAAGTGTCGTGGCTTTTTCAGCCTTTTAAGCCTCCGTCTCCTCTCCGGGAACAATGACTTGTATTCATAATGGCCAGATTTATTCCGCCTGGATGAGCCTGTAGTTAAAGCAGTCTCGCTTTTGAGGTGACTGATTCAATCATCGTCAGGTAGAGTGTTCTTCTCCATCGAGAAAGTTGCCTTCTGATTAATTTCCCTCCAGAGTTCTGGGGTTGTCAGTCGGCCCACTGATGTCTGGAACCAGAACACAGTCATGGCAATTGTAACGGATGATGGAATGCTTATGTAATTGACCTTGCTCTGTCCAACAGTGTCCCAACAGCTTCCTGGACACATGCAGACAGAAAGATGCCGCCAGTGTTGACTCAGGTTGGGACCGAGGCGTAGGAAGTTACAGACTGTTTTTACTGAATATAAAACAGGCTTCAAACCCAGATATGAGCGAGACAAGATAGAGCAGAGCAGGATTAGACCTCCTTACATACATGTCTGAGAAGTTGTTCTGCCTGTGTTGGTTTAGGATCACTGTCAACATGAGGCTGTTGTGATAGTATTAGCAAGGCCTTTTAACTGAGCTGTTTTTCTTTAAAAGTAAAATAAACTGCCGAAACAAAAACTCTTCAGTCGCTCATTAAAGGAGCGGCAGTAAATCCTGGTTTAAAACTGCAGCAGTAATTTAATTATTTCTGCCCATTCAGAGAACAAACACTGACGTTTTTACATACACTACACGCATACACGCATACAAACAACGGAGGCTCTAAGAATAGAGTGGTAAGAAAGGGGCTCAGTGTTGGGTGGGGTGACGTATCTTATACTTGACATGGTCCTGGCTGCAGCCACTTTGTGGTTTTCTCCTTGGCGCTTTTATTAATCGTACACATTAGCTCATTCTGGAGCAGGACCTCATACTGATACAGCGCCAGGATCTGCAGTAAAGAAGGGAATAAAAGAACTAACTCACGGTTGCATCTTGCGTTTCTGTGTGGGAGTTTGAGTAACGATTGTGCGAGCGGCTGTTTTCTCCATTTCTGGCTTCTCCTTCTCCGCTCGGCCTGATTGCTTGTTAGCGCTGACCTGCTCCGCAGCTGCATGCCCTCAGGGCATCCTGGCAGGTTCACCTTGCGTGGGAGAGACAGGGCGATGGCCCGTCGTGGTCACCATGGCGATGGCTGCCAGCGTTTTGATTGCCTCTTGGTTAGTGTTGGGAGTGTTTGTGTTTTGTCACTGCGAACCACAGGAATACGTTTGTTTTAGACCAGAGGGCAGCAGTATAAGGGTAAATTCAGGGTTTCTGGAAAATGGAAATAGGTGGCAGTAGTCTGGTGCTGCCTTTTGCTGAAGAAGCTGAAGAAGTGAGGAAGGGTCTGGATCAGATATAGGGGTTTTCAGGTTAAATTCAGGCCCATTTAAAATGCACTTCAGCCGGATATGGAGAGGC